ATACTAAATGTAAAAATTTCAAAGATCCGTGTAGTATCATTTGTCGCGCATACAGACGAAGAAGGATGCTATAACACTATTTTATAATTAATTTTCATTATAAAGGTCATGAATTGTATGATTCTCCGCTGCTGTTTGAGAAATAAACATAGGAGTTTTTCAAATTTGTAACATAAATAATAGCCATTTAAATTTTTATTTAATTAATTTTTTATTTAATTTTAATAATTAATAAAACTAATGTCGCCATCAAGGTAGAAACGGATGTCAACAGGCAATGTTCAATTGGGATTTACATATATGCATAAAATGAATTGGGGCTCTTCTTCGCCTCTCTATTCCGCGAGCAAGTGAAGTCTGAGCTGTAAATAAAATTATTATTGTTTATATTATATATATTGGAAAATTAAAATGTTTATGATTTACGGATGATATATTGTTTTGCTTTAAATATCTATATTCTAGATATTATATATACTCGCCCACCCGGCAAACGTTGTTTTGTATTATTTCTAGGATACATTTTTTAGTTCAATAAAAATAAATATCTACAATAATAAAAAATAGGGGTTGATCGTAGAGGGGTGAAAATTAGGGGTTGTATGTATTTTTGTATGCTGTATCATAAAAAATAAAAACAAAAAAAATCTAAAAAAAATTGTGTTGGAAATCTTTTATCACTTAGGGGTTTAAAAGATAGATAGTAGCCGATTCTCAGACTTACTGAATATGAATATAAAATTTCATAAGAATCGGTCGAGCCGTTTCGGCTGGGAACGAACATTGTGACACGAGAATTTTATATATATAGAAACATAGATTCTAGATATACGAGACTTTGCATTCTGTTAATGTGCTTTCGCAATTGGATTTTGGCTATAACCCTAAACTCTTCGTTTAGGGTTAGAGCTCTCTCTCTATTTCTAAGTTTTTATACATATTGAAAGACGACGCTTCGGTGGACAAATTTGTGTAATATGTTCCATAATTAGATAAATTTCTGTATTTTTTAAAAATAATTTGTACTAATATGAATATGTTTATCGGTATACATACATATTATCCTTCTGTTGCATACGAGTAGAAAGTAATCATAACCCAGTTTCCTTGGGCCCTTTTTAGCTCTGATGGGAACCATTTCCATAAAGTTCATTTCTGGATTTATTTCATTGATAATTTTTTAACATAACAGCCTTCTGTGCCCGTCGTCACTTTAGCATCTAGGAAATACCGCTTTTCGCGTTTTCCTTCACTGTACGAGTATGTGTTAATTTAATAACACAGCCGGGATTCAAACCAACGATCTCAGGGTTACAAATCGCTCGCCTAACCACTCATTAACACCGCTCTGCGAATGTAAAAAGAAATTTTACATTTCCCTAATCTAAATAATCCCATTGATTGGGGAACACAGTTTAATAAATAATCACTGATTCGTGATTATATTAAAGTACGTACTACCTAATTTCGATCCATTTTTGTTAATGTTTGTACTGACTTAAGATGTTAAATGCAACAAGTATTTAGCGCATGCCAAGTTTTGGGGATGTTTTGACAAGACCAGGGCTGGATTTAGGGAAATAGACTTCGGAAAAAAATATTTTAAATACCGACTAGTAAACGCTACCAAATAACCTTTCTATTGATGTGTTTGTTAAATACTATAAGGATCTACTAAGTTTCACAATAAATTGATGAAAACTCGACTGAAAAAAATTGTTGGGCCTCCATACATTTACTGCCCCAAGGCCTCCAGACCTCTAAAACCGGCCCTGAACAAGATTATATAACAATCTAGTTTGATTAAGATATTAAATAATTAATTGACATTTAATAATCTACGACTAACGCTCTTGTGTTGTGCCACATCCACTTGCCACTATCACTTAACACTAATTCAAAATTCTTTAAGTAACTGTCATTACTAGAGGAGGTATTTTTATTAAGCACCAATTCGATAGCGTTGATCTTGAACTAATCTATAAAGGTATAATTATAATTTCTATAATAAAACAGAAAATTTAATACAGCTTCTGCAAATTAGCTTTGCTACCATAAAATATTGATTGTTTCGAAAATACATACATATATTTAATTAATCTTACCTTAACATTTTGGTGAGCATCTTGCTCTCCAGCCTCAAACTTATGTTTAATATTGTCTATTCGCATCTGCTTCAAGATTTCGATCGCTTTTTCGATCCTAGAAAAGAAATTAATATTTTCACATATTTTATTATTTTCATTATTAAAAATAATCATATAATTTCATCCGGGTCCTAAGATACGCTTTAGAATATTAAATATAAATAAAAATAAAATATGCCATCCAATATCGATATAGAGGGCGCTTTTTAATCCTTTTTTGCTCATTTATGGCGTGAAGAATTAAGACAGTGTTTTAGTTAAAAAAGGGGAATAAGGGAATTAGTTTGTGACGCAACAATAATTCATACTTGATCACTGATCGGTGGAATAGGGACAGAAATATCTCTCCTTTATTAAACTCAGTAATTGTAATTAATGGACACAGGTTGTAAATAGTTAAAAATACATGGGTTTTAGACATGAGTCTTGCGGGAAGATAATATTGTCAAAAAGTAAGTAAAATAATTAGACTGTTATGTATCTTAAAACAGGCGGACGAAATCATTTGTATACAGTACAACTAAAAACCGGAAGTTAGATCTTTCGTAGCCTTGCTACAAGCGCTACGAGGGCTGCTACGAAATTTTCGTAGTCATAACTAGATTTGCATAAAAATAATAACTTTTAAAACTATATCTATACTATTATTGATTTTACGTAAATTCTTAAATATATATGGCGAAATAAACATATATTCCAAAACTTATCCCGTTTTACATTTCTTTGGATTAAAAGCCAGATCTTGATCTATTGAACCAATTTAAGTACAAACAAAAACATACATACATTTGTTTGTAGTGATGCTCAAAGCTAAGTGGACTTGATGAATTTTCATATAGTAAGACATTAATTATTATTCCAATTCCATGTACATAGACCCACGATACTACTAACAGTCAATATTTTAAAATCTTATTTTAAAAATTTATTTATATGACAAAATTCAGTAGTAGCTTAATGTCCCATGACTTTCATATGATAAAATCCAATGTTTTAGTCAACCTTAGTGCTAAGGATCAACTCTGCATCCCCTTGTCATCCATATCAGGCATAGATTATAGAATAAGAATAAAAGTATGTGAGTTTTATTTATCATATTTTTTTGTAGTCTTACTTTAGTCTGTGTTAAAAACATTGAAATTAAAGCCAAACACTCCCATCTTACTCTGAACAAAATAATTAAAACTTCTAACTATAACTTAACAAATTTCTGCTGTGTATGCAGAGGCAAATTTACTTTGACAATTATTATAATTTTTTAAGGAATAACATAATGTACCATATTCTCATATTGTCCTGCAACCTCTTTAAAGGCCAGATTACTCTTGTGATCAACCTCTCACTTCAGTTAACTGATACTCCACATCCTTGACTCTCTCATTGTACAACTGGTCTCGGAGTAAAGCAAAGTAATGTTCAAGTTTTGCTGGAATTGAAAATATTTTCTTTTAATATTATTTAACCTATACATGTAATTATAGTATTTGTTGGTTGGAATCCTTATAGTCTTAGGTGAAATTCTATATAATTATTTATAGACATTTGCACAGCCACAATCTTAATAACAGCTGATTCAAACATTTATATTATTACAGAACACATGAATATGTGTTTAATTTAAAATAGGTAAGTAAATAGATAAAAACCAAACTGGAGGACAAGACAGCAAAATAACTAAAGACAATTTGCCAGGAGCAAAACAAACAATCTCAAACAAGGCTAAGTTTATCTACACAGTCAAGTGATAGAGTGCTATTGCAAGTTTGTGGGCTATTAGTGTGTTAAAAACATTGTAAAACCTAGTTATCTAAATCATTTTAGGTCACATCAGCTATTAGCCTGAGCTCATATAATTTTTTGAATATCAAAGCGAAAGTGAACTAAATTTAATACAACTGTGTTTTCAATAAGATAAATATTATGAGTTAGTCATTGTAATTGTTACTAATCGGTAACAATCAACATTTATTACCCCTTTTACACAGAGATTAAAGACCTAAAAAAGTTTTGAATACCTGTAAGTTTATAAACATAACCTATTTACAAACCTAAATTAGCAAGACATTAATTCCTCCGCCTTTTGCATTCACTCTCATCTCAGAGGAGTCGTCTGAGTCTGGTTCGTCAGGTTCCTCAGCGCTGGAGTCACGATCTGGCCCTCTAGAAGAGCCAACAGACCTTTCCGTATCGCTCCCGGACAAACAAACATTATGTTACCTCTGTCACCCTCCACTTACATGGATGGCATAATTTAACGCTAAAACGTATAAAATACATGAAACTGGATTTTAATTTTTATTCCACATAAACAATAACAACTCAAGCTGTCAAATTGAGAGATTTATTGAAATTTGACACTATCGTAGTTGAAATTATAGAGACGTCAAAACGGGGCGGATATTTCTAGTTTTGGTTATCTGTTTTATTAAAAACTTTTTAGAATTAACAATTTTAAATTCTATTGTAATCACTATGTACACATATTATGTAATATGATTTTCTATTATTTCCAATACACAAATACCTTATTTACAATATTCTCGTAATAATAATAATAATTAAAAACGGATGTATAGAAAATTTAAATAAATTTAAAAAGATTAAGAAATGAGAAATCAAAAATGTTTTCAAAATACTGCGTTTTAGTAAAAAAAAATTATTTTACAGTATAATTTATATTGATATTTGAGCTAAAACTTCGTACTATGTATTTTAGACGTCCAATATTCCATGTTTTAATGAATTAACTATAATAAAAGAAAAGTCGTAGGAATTACGTCCTTTTGCCGTTTAAGGTTTTTTGACAAATGATGAAACAAAATACAGAAATAGCATTTATTACTATAAAACTATCTAATCAGTCCTCTCTAGCAATTTCCTGACTAGTCTCCAATCTTCCATGATGTCAGCATCAGGTAACATGTAGACAACGTAAGGCGGGGAAACAGTCACCTGGAAAATTAATCTAATATATGTTTGATATTCTAATAAACAGATTTAGATCGGGAAACTAAACTTAGCGTTTACTTCCTACTCTGAATCCTACCCTCAGAGTCAAATTATTAAAAGTGCACTAATTAATTAATTGCAAAATATTAAAAATTAAAATAAAAAGTAATTTAATTCCTTGAATCAATAATATAGGACAGTTAAGAAGAGTATATCACATGTAAACATTCTTTCACTCGTACTTTTTATTACGTACACCATTACTTTGACTTTTAACCTGCAGATTCTCGATTCGATCTCGTTCTTTTTAACGGTGTACCTTACCATACGTTTTTGTACTTACTTCAAAAAGATTTTTAAATAAATAAAAATAATGTTCATCAATTTTGCAAACGCCACGAGTGACCATGAACATCCTATAAGTACGCTAAACATCGTGTTGTTATGAATTGCAGACTAAATACAGTAAAATGTAAAATGCAAAATAAAATACTTGTCTCTTTCTTCTTTTGCGTCCCCATTCGGCGCCACACGACCAGAGATCCACCGTATGCCTCTCTTCTTCAATTTTTCTTATTTTTTCTAGTATTTCTTCTTTTAATGATTCATAAACCAACCATTTTTCACTCTGTTAACAAAAAACACTGGTTTAATGTGTACATATATATGTTTGTACAAAATATATGTATAAAAAAAGGTACCGCGCCACAAGAGTCGGGGCATATTGGGAAATTTATATAATAAAAAAAAACAATAGACACTTTTAATCTAGCTGATTTACTTAATTTTCGATTTTCAGGGAAATGGAGTAGCGGTAAGACAAAACAAATTTTCTAATATTTCAGAATAGGCAAGACTTCTATACCATTGTGTCTGCAGGACTCAAACTCTGTATAAAACCCTTGTGGTTTAATTCATAAATTCGGCTTTGGAGTAGATAATTGAAAAAAAAAAATGTATAGTAATTCATTTAAATTTCAATTACCTTTAAGTCTGACTTTTAAAATATTATAATACACTTTAATGTACACTTAAAAACTTCTTTAACGACAATAAATGCGTTAATATATTTAATTATTTACATATCTCGAAGTGTCAAGTGCTTTTCGGCAATCGTGGTCAGTGACAAGTGTAGTAGTATATTATCTATTAAGGGAAACACGCTCTTGTGTTCTATTACTTTCACTTGCTAGTGTTTATCACTTAACACACATTCAAGTAAGTCAAATAAGTCTTTAAGTAATTTTAAATGACTAGAAGAGGTATTTATTAAGCACCAATACGAAAGTGTTTTTATTGAAACTATCCAAAAAGGTATCATTAAAATTGACTATAATTTCTATAATTTATCTGAAAATTTAATGTCAATTCTGCAAATTTGCTATGATACCATATTATAATGTATCGAATGTTCCGGCGGAAATATATATAAATAAACTTACCTTAAAATTTTGGTGAGCCGCTTGCTCTTCAGCCTCAAACTTATGTTTAATATTATCTATTCGCATCTGCTTTAAGATGCCCGCTACTTCGATCCTAAAAGAAAAAGTTATCATTGCATATACAATATACATATAATGGTATATTGCTTTATACTCCTATTTTCACTAGTTTCGTAGGAACTGGTTTAACAGTTTTGAAGAAAAGTTTTGGCAAATTAAATATAAATAAAAGCTTTCACTTATCTACAGAATTTCTAGTTGATTCTCAGTAAAAGCTACTTCAGGCTGCACTATGTATGCTGTAACTAGCAAATTGACAAACCAAAAATATCTTGTAAAATTATTTGAATTAAGTTTGGTTTATTTAAAGTTTAAACATTACGACTATTAGTGACTTTCATCAATCAAGACAGAGTTTTACTTAAACAGGGTAATTTTGTTTGTTGACACAACAATAATTCTTACCAGATCTTGCTTGACATCTAAATTAATTATATGTTTGAAATATATACATTGGAATTCAGCCTAACACTGTTAAAATCTCAACAAAATATCTAAATATAAAGAATAACATAAAGTACCTTATTCTCATATTCTCCTGCAACCTTCTTAAAGGACCAAGATACTCTGGTGATCTACCACCTCTCACTTCAGCTAACTGGTACTCCACGTCTTTGACTCTTTCATTGTATAACTGGTCACGGAGTAATGTGAACTGATGCTCAAGATTAGCTGGAATTGATAATATTACATTCAGTATTTTTTTAAGCCAAACAAACATGTGTTTCAATTTATTTTTTTATAGAGAAATTGATTTAAGTCATCATTAGACCTAGTTATGAGGCTTTAAACAACTTTAAAAAATATATTTTGTTCATAAAGCATCAGATACACACAGTGAAACATAGAAATGTAATAGCAGTTGTTTATGACGTTTATTACCTTACTATAATATACTATTTTTAATTTTACTGAAGATTTTGAATTAAAGTGAAAGTGAACTAAATTTAAAACCACTGTAATAACAAGTATTGTTTTTAACAAGGTAAACATTATGTGTAAGATATAGTAGCTGTTTCTTATCTTTAACAATCAACAGTTATTGCCCTCTTACATAGAGATTTGGGACCAAAGAAAGTTTAGGATACATGGAAGTTTATAAACATAACCTATTTACAAACCTAAATTATCAAGACATTCATTCCTCCGCCTTTCGCATTCACTCTCATCCATCTCAGAGGAGTCATCTGAGTCTGGTTCGTCAGCGCTGGAGTCACGATCAGGCCCTCTAGAAGAGCCACCAGACCTTTCCGTCTCGCCCCCGGACAAATCGACATCTCCATCACTGTCACCCTCCACTTTCATGGAAGGCATTCTTCACCGCTAAACGTATAAAATTATTGAAACTGGATCTTCTTTTGTGAATGGTGGTAGATTTTAATTTTTATTCCACATAAACAATAACAACTCAAGCTGTCAAAATGATAATTATTAATTCCTGTTGGTTGAAATTTGACAATTAGCATAGTTAAAATTTATAGAAACGTCAAGACGTATGGGGCGTATATTTTTAGTTTAGATTTTATGCACCTTTAGATGATCAATTCAGTTTTCGCAAAAATATTGAACAATGATTCAACCAATGTTTGGGCAATCTAAATTTTTTTGCACCATATCATTGCATGTCTAGAGACTAGAGGGCGTCTTAGGTTCTTCTTCTTTTAATGCCTTTCCAGTCTCCATCACTGGAGGTTGGCCGTTAGTCTCTTGTGTGCCAGATGCAGCAACTCTTCTGCAGTCACAATACCCGTCCACTCACTAACGTTGCAAAGCCATGATTTCTTCCTTCTACCTGAAGGAACCTTAATTGAAGGAGGTGGTAGCTGTCGTGGCGCAACACGTGGCCCTGATACGCAACTTTCCGTTTTTAACGTTCTGCATAAGTTTTATGGACATTCCAACTCGTTTAAGAACCTTCTCGTCAGAGACATCTGGATCCAGCTTATACGAAGCATGCGACGAAACATCTCAAATCCTTCTAAGCGCCGGTGGGTATCTTCTTTAATTGTTCAAGCTTCACAGCCGTACAGAATAATTGGCCATATGTAATAAAGGAGAACTCGGATTCAGAGCTTAATGGTCAAGTGACGACAGCACAAAACTTTTCCATTTTGTTAAAAGATCCTCGTGCAAATGCAATTCCACTCGATTCCACTAGTTTGTAACCCAAGTTCCCAAATACTTGTATTGCCACACCTGTTCCAACGTCCTTCCAGCTAAATTAGGACATAGAGTATCGTTTCGAGAAATGACCATCACATCGCCTTAGGTTCAATTTCAGAAACGAAACAAGCTTAAACTGACTCCCGTATCAAAATTTAATACAGTTTTTACTTTTAACGTGCTCAAACTTAATAGGACCTACAAACTAACATACATTTCCATTTGACCAATCATGAAACAGGTTTTAATTGATTTTAGAGTCCGTATAGACCACAAGCCCATGAACAAAAAATACCTGTAAAATTACCCAACGTGAATTACGCTTAGAAGGCTGTTACTATATCTGAAAATAACTCTGAGCACTATGCCGTCATTTCTGAGCGGTACATGTGAGTACGTGAGTGAATGGAATTTCTCAGGTACCAATGAGGAATTTCGACTAATTATTAATGTACGGCTTTGTTATAAGTGTATAGATGATTAAAAATAAATGTCGAAAAACCTAGTGCCGTACTAAAGTAAAGGTACCGGAAGTCGGTGAAAATTTTTAATTCGACGATAGTTGCAGAAGCAATATAGGTCATTTATTAGGCTAAGTTCAGATGACCGCGCGTAGCCGCGCGTCGCCGCGCGGTTGGAGCATTCACATGACGGTATATGTACGCGCGGCAGTGTGGCTTCAACATTGATTGACAATGGACGTGGAGGAGGCAATTTGCTTATGGATTTTATATAGAAGACTGAGACGTCGCAGAAGAAGACAAAGACGATACTGGGTGCATCCAATTTTAAGTGGCAGACTTTCTTCCAGCCTGTTTGTCACTTTGTATCCCGACTTGAGGTTACACGAAGATCATTTTTTTAACTATTTCCGGATGTCAGTTGCATCCTTTGATTTTTTATACGATTCTATTGAAAATTATTTAAAATCCATAGAAGATGCTATAAGATATTGCATATCACCGAATACTTCATACCATATCTTCGGTACTCATTTTGCATCGATCTATGTGTCTTTCCGTCTCAAGCCGCACGGATCAACTGAATAGGTCGATACAGGTTTGCAAAACTTGTGCCGCGCGCGGCCGCGCGGAAGCGCGCGGTTCAAGATCTTGCGCGCGGGTCGGAGCGCGCCGCGAGTTGGCGTACGGTACCGCGCGGTAATGTAGACGATAATTACCGTTTATATTGATCTTGTACCGCGCGGTTTTTTAGTTCCGCGCGGTACCGCGCGGTCATCTGAACTTAGCCTTACTGTATGGCATTTGTGTTCCTTTTGGACACATATACATATACTTTACCCGTAAACGCCGTACTTATTTCCAGCGGAGCGGTCGAAAGCCAAGGGTCGCAACCGTACCCCTACACCCATATACCCTAAGGTCATTGTAAAATGTACGGCAACTTGTTTTTTTACATAATGTTACTAAATATTACCGTTGTACCTTATAGCCGTTCATTATAAATGGTAACTAATAAAAATAATAATAATAATAAAGCCATTTATTCCAAAACTTGCTTATGTTTTACAATGTTGTTAGTACTACTTAATTGCTTAAATTTAAAATGGTTACTTATAATTACCGTTAGTATTATTATTTATGTACAAGGTTTGATCCTGTTGGGTAAAGGCCTCCTCCATCCTTTTCCATGACTCCCTGTCTCTGCCTATTTGTATCCAGTCGTTTTGGAGTGTGTTATATCATCAGCCCACCGTCTTAATTGTCGACCAACATTTCTCTTCCCCATGGGTCCTTTCCATCGTGGGTTTCAATGGTCCATCTTCTGTCTCGGTATCGTGAGATGTCCAGCCCATCTCCATTTGAGTAAGAGTGCGTGCTGAGAGCATCAGTTAATTTGGTTTTTTGACGAATTTCTTCGCTCCTAATTTTGTGTATTTTCCTAATTTTCAGCATACTCCTTTCCATTGCTGTTTGGTTACTTTTAATTTTTTGTTTTATTTTATTTGTAAAGGTCCAAGTTTGGAGCCATACAGCAAGCAAGGTAACAGGCATGTATCAAATATTGTCCTTTTATGTTGAGCTGTAATGCCTTTTAAGATTTCTTTTAATGCCCAGAATTTCTTCAAGTTGTGTTGATTCTCCTTGTCACTTTTCTTCGTTATTTGAAGTTTTGAAGGAAATTTGTTTGCCAAGTATATGATGCTGAGTATCTATATATTACCTTTTATCACTATCTGGGCTCCCGATTGTTCGTTAGTATCTTCGTTTTATTTACATTCATTTCAAGGCCGATTTTGGAACTTTCGCAGTCCAGTATCTCATCATTTCGTCTAAGTCTTTTGCAGTCTCAGCAATAACAGCAATATCATCTGCGAACCTCAGATTGTTTAAGTATTGTCCGTTTATGTACACTCCGCTGTTCTTCCAGTCTAGTTTTTGGAAGATAGTTTAAGGACTGCTATAAACAGCTTCGGGGAAAGAGGATCACCTTGTCTAACTCCGCGTTCTATGTTTATTTCGTGCCTCTAGTTTCTAATTTAACTCTGCTCGTGCTTTTTGTATAGATATATTTCAAAACATTGATGTATTTTGGTTGATATTTGAATATTGTAAAGGTTCCAGATTGACAGTGACTAATGCTATCAAAAGCTTTGCTATAGTCAATGAACGCCACATACAGAGGTCTATTGTATTTCTGTATTTTTCTATGACTTGCTCTAATGTCTGTATGTTATTGTGTGAAGCTTGATCTGAATCCTGCCTGTTCTTTTGGTTGTGCTTATCAATATGTCAGATATTCTCTTTAAATTATGGATGAAAATAGTTTATAAATACTTGCCAGCAGACTTATGGGCCTGTAATTCCCTATATCTAAGGGATTTCTTTCTTGAAGAGAAGGATTATATCCGATTAACCACTGTTTTGGTACCTTTTCTTCATTAGTATCTTATTGAACAATCGCGTAAAATGATATTTAAAATGGGTGTCTATTTTAAGTGCCTCATTGCATATTCGTCTGGTGGGACTCTTCTGGTTTCAGCTTTTTCATATATATAAACTTCGGAGTATTCAATTTGTCTGATGTGATTGTGTGTTGTATGGGTTGTTTGATATATTTGGGGTTATTTTGTTTACTATATAAGTTTTTGTAGAAGTTAGTAGGTGATTTATTACATCTTTTTGGATTTTGTTTTAGTGAGTTATTTTAAGTTTTCGAATAGGACTTGTGTGTAGTTAATTTTTGTATGCTTTTTTGGCACTTCTAAAATGTTTAATTTTTGTAATAATCTGTATGGGGTGTAGTTAGATTATTATTAGTCTTTTGTATATTGTTCATTATAAATGGTAACAAATAAAAATATTATGATAAAACATATATGAAATTTCCGAAATTTAGATGATTTTTCAAATATTCCTAGAGTAATATGGGGAGTAATATTTTCAAATATTATTGTTATTTTATATGTAACAAATATAAATAAACAAAAAAAACCAGATGCCGTACATGTGTAGACGACTTTATTGGAAATGACTGGCTAAAAAGGCTTTGAGTAATCATTATCTATTAACAGCTAGTAATGCTTTTTATTTAAAACTTGTATGTTTTTAAAGGGCGGCTTTGATATTATGGTCATAGGATCCTGCAAAAAAATGGAGTTTTGTTAGCTACGCGTCACCTGAAATTTACTTTCATGCACCTTAGTGCATGGTATAATTTTGACCGGAAGGTTTTACTATATAATATGTTCATGTGTTACCATACACATGAGGTCTATACTTTGAAACTTTTTAGGAGTTTTGCTGGAGACAATATTTTAATAAAAGTTACGGCTAAAATTCAGACATTTTTTCTGGAACATGAGCCACGGTTACTTATAAAGTGTTAATCGTCGCCCATAGACAGCAGCAACAACGGGTGTTTTATCGAGTTTTGAGGATACGTTCTTCTCTTGAAGGTCCCTAACAGTTCGGAAAACTCTCTACTTTCAGCTGGTTCTACAAAGAGGTGCGCACTGTGATGTGGAACGCTAAGCTTCCGTATCTCAGAAACGTTTGCATTTGACTTATGGGAGTCTTACTAAGTGCTGGGATAATCTCTACTCTGAATCTAAGTGTAACTGTTAGTAATTATTACAAGCTTAGTTATATAATTTAGACGAAAGCTTTTGGCTACTGCGTAAGTCGTACATTATGAATGTTATACTTCCAGCATATACGAAGAGTGACTGTTCTCTCCATAAAAATCTCAAGTTAAATTCGGGACAGATTCATTTATATTTAAAAAAGAAACAAGTTGTTATCTGATATTAAATTTAATAGGTATACTCTATTATTTACATTAAATTGTTCTCTATTAACATGGTATTTATAATAATTTCATAATCAATCAGTAAACAATAAACTTTATATACAGGAAAATTTATAAATAATATTAACGTTATCAATACTGTGAAGTTCGACAATACCACATTTGAATACGTGCATAAATGTAAAACGTGGGAAACAGATTACACATAAATTTAAATGCATACACCCGATGCACGATTCGTAAAATTATACAGATAACAAATATATCCTAGAATATAGCACCTCCACAGGCTACCAGAAATATAACTAAGTAATGAAACCGCTTTAATCTAAATGACTCGATATTCATATCGGTTCAAAGGATATAATAAATTACAAAATATACACAAAAGGCTGAGCGCTCGTTTAAATTTTTAGTATTTCTATCATAGTCACGACGCTATATGCAACGAGCGCCACAGCTTAATATAAAACCTTATAATTGTGATTATTAAAATAAATTGTTATTAATGAGACATATGTCTCGTATTTGGCACAAAGTTATTTGGAATGTACATTTACAAATAATTAAAAATTCCAAATAATTTGTTTATTTGAACATGGATATACAATCCGTCAACGGAATTATGGCATTCAATTTTGTAACATACATAATTTGAAAAACTATTGTACAAATTTGGCATTTTAACAATATTTGTGAAGGTTGACATTTGGTTAAGTGTTGTCATATTAAAAAAAAAAATTTCAATGTAGATTAAAAATGCAATAGGGTACCGTAATCGCTTAATGATTACCGTTATAACTATGGCTTTATAGGTATAGGTATACTATAAAAACAGATATGTCGTTGTTAGGTTCAAATATTGCTTTCTACTCACTATTACAGCCGATTTTAAACATTGCCCAATATTTGTAAATATTTAAAATCTACCATCAAACCCCCCAAGGTACTACAGGAGAAAATTTCCAAAAAGTTTCTATGTTTTAAAACCTACTGCAAATTTTTTGGAAGAATCGAATTATTCATTAGTTTTAGTTTAATTATTGTTATTTTAGAGTTTTGTCATACATTAGATAAATATTAAAATTGTAACGTGAAAATATATTAATTTTAATCGTTTTAATTTTATGATTTACATTGATTTTACCAAAAACGTAAAGATGAATATAGAAAATTATCGAATTAATTTTATTTACGATTAAATATTCAGCACGAACGTGCAAAATGTAGTTATACTGATACCGACTCTAATAATTATTAAAATGAGAAGCGTAAAAATGGAATATTATCTTCAAAATAATTTTTAGAAATACGTGATCCTTGAAAACTCTAATCCACAAACAACTATAAAATACTAATAAATTTTAAGGCAGTTCTGAGAGTTTGTTAGAGAAAATACCCACGAAAATTATTGCCATTCAACGTTGCCATATTTAAGGAATATACGACAAATTGAAAAAAAAGTTCAACTTATAAACAACGAAACGTCCCTAAGGACAAGGACACGTCACCAATAGAAAGAATAAAAATTCAGTAAAAATAGTGTTTACGATACAATAAATTGTATCACAATTTCATACAAGTAACATAATTTTAACATACGTTAAGTATTGGATTTCATGGCCGACGTTTGGTATGCGCCTCTGGATGTATGAACTGTCAGATGTCAAGTATTACAGTTTTACGTTTTCGATTAGCTATGTCAAATCCAGTCAAGCGGCCATAAAATCCACCTGTAGGTATAAATGTCTAATTTTAACTAAATTTTTATTCAAACTAATAGCACTAGAGCCTACATTCCAAACTGTATTCCTTCCGCGTCAGCAAATGTAGAACCATTCGCGTAATCATTCCGATTAAGAGGATCGCCTTGAAAACGTATTCGACTACGACATTTACGCTCGCATGTGGGACACTCCATCGACTCTCGGTTGCCCATGATCGATCGTCGTGAAATATCTGACTGGAATGATTCAAAATTCGATCAGGCGTGATCGACCGGAGCGGTATTCGATCACTAGTCGATTCGATTCGATTAAATCGATGAGCGATGATCGTTCGCTAGGTGTGCTTGAGCCAATGGGCGGGAACCCACTGCGGCTCCCTTTCGAGGCTGTTGATTTCGTTGACGAGCTGTTGGTAGGCGCGTTGAGTGTCATTGTTGATGATGATCATGTCGAAGAGGTGGCCCCAACGAAGCTCCATGTCGCGGGCTGTGGCTATTATTTCTTTCAATTCTTCCTCCTGAAACAAAAATTAAAATGTTAGAGAAATGGAGACTTGAATGCATTTTATTTATTTATTTATTGAAGTTTACCACATCTACGGTATTTTACAAGCTCTTTTATCTAAAGTATATCAAAATTTTGGTAAACATAAACATTACAAAAAATAAACTAAAAATACTACCAATTTTTGTTAAGCAGAAATAAAAGTAAAAAATGACTAGCAAAACAGCGGATTAGGTATGATATAGTATTTAGAATAACGGCGGCAATTTTATAAAAAATGATTAGAATCTTTGAATAACTAAAAAATATTTAATAAACGAGTAAAAATTAAACCGACGATCCGATTCTAAACAAAATCCAATAATCTTTTACCTTATAAGCCTCGCCATTTCTGATTTTCTTCTGCCTCAATTTCTCCAAGCTGGGCGGCGCCACAAACACCGTGTAAGGCTTGAGGTCGGAGCCTCGTAATATCTTCAAAGATTGAGGGTGAAGATTCAAAACACAGATCTTCCCAGAATTCACCACTTCCCGAATGGCTTCTAGCGATGTACCTGAAAATGTATGTATTTTAATAAATTTGCTAAACTTTTTATAATTGTCAATCACATCACAAATATTATCATATAAAAAAAAATTATAATAACACCCTAACCGTTATTTTAAAATCTAAACCAGAGTTATTTGTTTGAGCTATGAGCTATATAAAAATTGAAAGTTAAAAAATAATAGAGTTTTGTGTTTTAATGCTGGAATAGAAAAAAGAACTTTAAAATAAAAAAGGAGAAGACTTAAGTTTTTACTCACCATAATACGCCTTCTCATACTCCCCGTGTTCCACAAATTTTCTATTAAGTATATCCGACTCAAATTGCGTCCGGGATATGAAATGATAGTCCTGTCCGGGAACTTCGTGGTCTTTGCGAGGTCTCGACGTATCTGTAATGAAGTAATTGTTTCGATCTCTTAAATAAACTTTTATAAACATATTGTTGGAAATGGTTAAAGAATCTTTATTACAGAAAGTTGTTTTTAATACTTTTATGAATCACTATTAATAAAAGTATTAAATACTTAAAAGTAAGACTTTGACGGCGTAGGGCTAATGAGGTCTATATCAGTGCACTTATAAAAAAAACTCAAACTAAATTGTTATAAAATACTTTGTGTTTTTACAACTAAATTAATACTTTTCGTTTAGTAAAAATTGCTAAATATTTATTTATTCCACATAATTATTCTACAATAAAAATATACAAAATATACATATAACTAGATCTTATAAAAATATAAAAAGCAGCTATTACATATATGCATATGTTACTTGTGCATGCATGCGATTCAGATATTAATGATATCTGTATATCATTTTCAAAACTTTTAACGGTAAAAAGTGCACGTGTTGTATGCCTCATACTTAAAATAGTTGGGAAAAGCGTGCGTGGTACGTAAATTAGACAAAATAACTTAAATGCCCATTAAATATATTTTTATTATTGAAAAAAGATCGACTCACGTGGCACGGCCGCGGCGAACCTGGCGGTGTCTTCCATGAGGCCGTTGCCTCAACTCGTGTCTCCCGATGTTCGGAGGCCCGATGAGGACGATGGGCCGCTTGTGGGACGCCCGAGGGTAGTACAGGCCCACTTCTTCGTACGTTAGGATCTCTTCTTGCTCGTATTCTGCAAAATAAAATTTATATAATTATCTCAAAAACGACTAAGCCGGTTTTGATAAAACTCGGACTGTTCAGACTTCAAACTTCACCTCAACAAGACAAAACTGCAAAATTCGCAGAATTGAAAAAAAAATTAAATAAAAGATTTATTTATTTAAAGTGAAGAAAAAAAAAACATTTCTGTCTTCTTGATACGATAAGTAATAAAGATCATTACCATCTCCACCTGAAGTGGAATAAACCGGATATCCGGCTTCGCTGGTCGCTTTCTTGCCTTTCTTCTTCCTGGGCGGCTTTTTGGCACAGAGCAGAGTCCCTCCTTTGCGGGGCTTATCCCTCGCCGCTACTTCACCCGCCAGGGTTAGTTTCATTGATTCACGCCTGAGTGAAAAATTACAAAACTATAAGTGCATGTGATTTAAACAATAAATCCCGAAAATGTTCGTATGTTACCAATATATATTACTTTTGATAATTTTTACCAACATGTAAAGTACATTATCTATAAATAAAGTTTTTATGAGAAAAAGAAAAATTAGCCTAAAAATCAATGTCTCAAACTCACTGATGCTGAAAAGCCTGACTAGGAATGAGTCCGGCGAGGGTCTGGTCTTCCTCCCCTTCTCGGAAGGCCTGCCACCAGTTGGGGTCCTCGCGGCTGATCACGTGCAACACGTCGCCTTTTTGGAAACTTATGCCTGAAATGAATTTACGTCAAAATAAGATATTTATTAAATCGAGCCTACTTCGTAAACTTGATTGACAGTTTTCTGATCTCATTTTTATAGGAGTATCATTAAATATATTTTTACGCAATATGAACAGAGAAGCCATAGGAAATACAACTCTCGCTACGTCACAAGTTAAACATATATATATATATATATTATTAAAACGTTATTCTGTAATATTATTAGTCTTATCATTGAATGTATTAATATATAGTTTTTCAAGGTATCTTATGTCATAATCACTTATTATAATATGAGCTCATAGTGAACAATGGATCGTTTTAAATACCTAATTTAGAATTCCAGGTAAGCGTATTTTGTTTGTCAGATAAAGTAAATAAATAAACTTTTATTTCTCTTAAATGTTTTCTTTTAAATGAAAACTTTTTTATATACTACCTGTTATATGTGTATTCCGTTTTTGGCTTATATATGTAGCTAATAATAAAATAAATAAATAAGAAAATAAAATATTAAGGAGAGAAACGACCTCCAACTATTTAAAGTTAGAGTGTACTTTTCCCTCAAAGGCCGGCAACGCTTCCACTAAAAATCCATGGGCTGCGATGACTGCCCTTTTTTGGGCGTCCCGTAAGCTTGTTTGCTCTCCTTTTAAATATATATATAAAAAAGGGGAAATAAAAAAAAACTCACCGAGCTCCCGACAAGGGATGTAGACGTCGTCCTCGGGGTCGTAGTCGAAGTGCGCCCTGACGTGCAGCACCCGATGGGCGGGCGGCGGACGCGGGCGGGCGCGAGGTGCCAGCACCACGGACAAAGTCCCCGCCAGTCCGCCTAGCAGCTGGCACACCTCGTGCACTGACTTGCCGCGCATGCTCACACCGTTCACTTCCAGCAGCTAGAAACACATTTCGGTTTTTATATAATTCTTTACTCTAACCTAAATATCTAGAGTACTCTGCTCTAAACATGTTCATAAAGACACAGGGTAATCCAAGATAATAAAACCATTTGTATGTTAATATATTTTATCTTATTTTCCTGTCTCTACGCAAGTAAAATCCCTGAGAGTTATAGCGTTAGACATGTATTAAGGGATACCAAAGTACATAACAAAGAAAATTACACTGTGACCGTGAACCTTTGAACATGAATAATTTTAATATACCAAGGTGTACATGGAACCAGTAACTGAACTAAGATACGGAATATCATCTACCTCATCTCCCTCGTGCAGCAGCCCTGACTTCTCAGCAGCCCCACCCCGCACTATCCTCCCGATTATCACCGCCTCACCTTCATTGCGTACTGTAGCACCTGCAGACATAAATAAGCTAATGAAGCAATGATTACACCAATATTGTTGCAGCAATAGTTTTTAAGATATATATTTTTTAATTATGTCCTATTTTAAGGCAGTCATTTTCAGTTCCCGCTAAAACACTCGTAGTCATGATTTAAAAAAAAAATTAAAAACTAACGATTTTTTAAATTCTTACCAAGTGGTTCATTAGTCTTTTCAATTTTAATAATCTTAATAGTATCGCTGGTGTCGTCCGGCGAATTGGTCGGTTGGAACTTGTCGTTCTCGGTTACGTGGTTTGCAGTCTGCGGATGAACAAACAAAATATTATAAAATGTAAGGGGTCAGTATGGAAATGTTTTTATATAGTATAATTAATCTAAAAACCTATAAATCTCTGGGGTTGGCAAAACATTTATGTAGTTTTAATACCTATAGTAAGCACACTTTTTATAAGAACAGATATTGAAGAATGCCAATAATGATAACTTTGAAAAAAAAACGACGGGTTGCACTCCGGGAGTGCCGGCAGAAGTGAAAACTTGAATATTAACGTTGTGCATTTTTGATATTTTGGAATGGTAAGGGAATAATTTTGCACGCATTGCTTTAATTACCAGAATAAAAGTACTATCATTTATGTGGTAGAATACAATATTTATTTATTACGTACACACACATGACAATTTATATTACATTAAATACGCCGCACCAGCTGCCTATTCTCCATCCGTCTTACGAATTTTCGATCAGGTCACGTGTCCTGACGCGAGTTTAACATTTTTTACCCATTCCAAAAAAGTGTACAACGCCGCTAAAGAAGTTTTCACTTCAAAAAAAAAGGTTATATCTATTTAGAATACAAACTATTTATTATAGTATAATCCAATATTTTCGGCTTACTTTTATTTTATTTATTTTAAACTTCGTTACATTAACATTAACATAAATTATAAGAGACTAAACGGGCGGCTTTATCGCTAACAAGCGATCTCTTCCTGGTTAGGAAAAAAAACTTAACAAAAAAATAAATACTAAGGGTAACGTGCAAGAAGTGCATAACAAATCAACAAAAATAAAATTACTAAACTTAAACAAAAATAAAATAAAATATAATTAGAAGCTAATATCGTGTTATTTAATTTTATACATTAACTGAAGCAGGATATTTCAGAAATATCCAATGACCAAAATACTGACCTTATTTCTTTTGCCCCGCGCAAAGCAAGAGGGGTCAAGCAAGGCGGCAGCCTGGTCGTGCGCTTGCAAAAGGTTTTCTAACTCAAGCCCTCCCAGAATTGACAGCAGTTCCGCAGCTACGCCTGACGTCTCACCACCTGACGCTGTATGCGATCCTAGTACATCTATACACTGAAAAAAATATTTTTGAATTTTTTTTTTTCAAATAGAAATGACGTGCTTTGTTCTATAATTTTTGATTTTTAACATAATAACACTGACTCTAATTCAGTTTCATATTATAGTTTTTAAAAAAATCGAATGTTCGTACTAACTGTTATTTTGGCTTCTATTGAAGTATTGGTTCCCGGGGTAATACTGCAGTTTTTGAACGAATATGTGTTTCTTAAAATAGGCATGTCATAAATTTATGACGTAATAGAATAAATAAATTGTTTGATAAATTATTTACAAGTCATTGTTCATAATTTTAATACAATGAGACAATAGGTATATTATACATAGGTTTAGCGACAGCAAAAAAATATTACAAACACTGTTTTACGGTATAAATTACTTGTTTTAGATATAATGAACCTCCAATTATCCTATAGGGATTGTATGTTCCCTTTTAAATTGTCTGTATGAACCCGAAATAATTGTTTTTTCCGTAGGATTCGAAGCCACGTTGCTGATGGAAACGATACTTTAACAGTACGGTCAGTGGCGTAGCTAGGTGACCAAGGGCCCTGGGGCAAATTAAAAAATGGGGCCCCATTGCTGTGTAAACTGATCAAAATATGAAATTTACAAATACTTTAAAAATGCTAAGCTACTTAAGCTCTTTTTTGTGCAGGGCAGGTAATAAAAATATTAAACAGTAACAACATAAATTACAATTAATACTTGATGTAGGTTTGGCGAATAAAATGAAATACAGAAGATTCAAGGGTTTATTATATAAAGGTCGGGCCTACCAACTGACTATATAACAATTATATTTTAAAAAAATCCTAGCTTTAGTTTTCGCAATAGTAATCCAGGCTTGATGCGGTTTTGTTTTCAATTGCTTTATACAATGAGCTGTAGCCGAAATCTTTAGATTTGACACGATTTATTGACTTTAACGGACATCAATATGAGTGGTAAAATCAAATAAAATTTAACCACTATATTGACCAGTACAAAAAAGTTTATTGACATTAGCTTACTTACTATTAATACATAGATACAGCATGAATTTTTAACCGTTCTCAAAAAAAAATCTTAACTCCAATTCACAATAAAACGCACATCGATGAATAATAAAATGCACATATCACTATCCGTCAAATTGACAACATTGCCAATCTACAGAAAGAATTTAGGGGAATTTCCTAGGCATAACTTTTGAATTTCTCTCAAATTAATGTCTTGATTAAAGTGGGGTTGCTGTCATATTTATTTTGAAAATGGGAGAAATTTCCAAAAGTGCAGAATGATCGAGATTTCTGGTGAGGAGGAGAGGGCGCCGCGGGGGGGGCCCCCCCCGCGCCCCCCCCCCCCGCCCCCCTTGGTAGGTACCCCTGAGCACACAGAGTAGTACGCCAAATTACTACTTAAATTTTTCTACTATCCTAAAACACCCAACCTTTGTTGTACCATGCCCCACGTAAGCCTTTCTAAAAATGGTATTTAACAAAAATTTTAATATTAAAAAATTGTTCACTTAAGAAAATTAAATGTACACAGTATGTAAATTATCAAAACAATGAAAAACTGACAATAAAATTACAAATAATTTTAATTCGAATAACTTTGCCCCACGTTCGAAAACACTGCCTTAGATCAAGGCAATAAAGATTCTTTTCATAAATTCAAGGTATGTCATAGCTAACTTACATCTTTTAATCGATCGGTAGCTCTCTGCGTCTGCGGCGGCGTGAGCGCAGGCCTTTTATGTCTAACAGCGGTGAGGACAGCTGATCGCGTCGCAAGCGCAGTGCGTAACCCTGGACTGGTTAAGGCACTGGCTGCTCCTGCCACTCTCGCTGCGAGACCTGATTCACCAATCGACCCTAACGCCTTTTGAACCCTCGATAGTGCAGCACAGACTTCTTGGTAATCTGTAAATGAAAAAAAAAAAAGATTTTAGGTTAAGTAGGTCACGTAACAAAATATAATAACAAAAAGTTTTAGGTTTAAAAATCTGTTATTTGACTTTATTTTTAAAAAATCAGAGGCGTATAACCAGTTTTTAGGTCTGGGCCTCAGATTTCTACATCTGTTTCATGATCATTTGTCAATCTAACAGACAAGTAGGAAATCAGCCTCCTGTGCCTGACACACGCCGGCGACCTTTGGGTCTAAGGCAAGCCGGTTTCTTCACGATCTTTTCCTTCACCGTTCGAGCGAATGTTAAACGGGCACATAGAAAGAAAGTCCGTTGGTGCACAACAAAATGATTCCACTTCTAGGCTCTTTTGTTATTTTTTCGTTTATGATTTCTGTCCAATCCAATAGTCTAAGATTTTTTTATAGTTATGAGTTCGAATGAATAAAATAATACAAGTACAATATACAAATAAAATACAGTTTACTAGACATTTCTGCAGGTTTATATTTAATTAAGCTTTGACGATTTTACGTACAGATTTCAAGACATCTCTTTAAGAACAAAAAGTCTTTAAATAGAAAAGCAACAAAACTGCAAGGGCCGTATTACACGCTCGACTTGGTTCAATACTAACTTTAATTAGTATTCAAGATGATATCCTAACGGCTACTTTAACCTATTTTTTGCTCTTAATTAAATTTTTATCTAAAATGAACGTCCGACTCATTTGCTTCAAAAACCATTTTGTAATGTGTTCTGTGTGTTTATTAGAAATTAAAAAAATCTAAATCTAAATCGCGAGTATGGGAGAAGAATAATCAAATGAGATCTTTAAGTCAGGAAAGGAACAGTATTTTAACACGCTTATATTAGCTTCACCTGTATGTATGTATGTATGTATGTATGTATGTATGTATGTATGTATGTATGTATGTATGTATGTATGTATGTATGTATGTATGTATATGTATTAATTAAGAATAACTTATATTTATTTAAAAAAATTACATTATTCTTAATTAATATTTATTAAAATTTATTTTCTGTTTTTTAGTTTAGTTTTCTATATAAAGCGTGTGTTCTAGTTTTTTTAAACTATTATTTATTCTGTTTAGACCTGGATAAAATGCGAAGGAAATCGTAGCTCCACTTAGCTTTGTTTTAAAGGATATTGCGCACCAGGCTGTTTTAAGTAAGGTCAAATAATATCTGAAATAGATCAAGACATACCAACTGTGCGTGACTTTTACTTCCATAAGGAGGAGCTCCTTACAAACGTTGTGTAAAGCAAAAAACTTGGCGATTAAAAAGAGTGGCGGAGAGTTTATTGTCAGTTCTTCTCTTCCGTTCTACGCCCTTGATTTGAGAGTAAATGTAAAATTAGAAGCATTTAATGTATATTTCGTTTTTGACGTTCATAAGTATACATTGAGTTACCTACATGAATAAATGATTTTTGACTTTGACTTCACTTCCCACTCTTCCCTTCTTCCATCTCTACCTTCGGAAGTTATTTCTAACCAGGTTTCTACCTACATTCTAATTAAGAACTTACCAACAAGCTGGTAAAGATGTGACGGTTCATCATCTTCCTCATATGCTTCGTTGACGAAAGAGGTAGTGTTTGGCGGGTTCGACTCCAGCGCCTGCAACTTGTGCGAGCCTCGTAGTGATGTACGTAGAAACTCATTCTGCGCTGCGATCCTCTCTTCTGCTTCTTTACGTTGACGGAGTTGCTCCTGGAATAATATAAAGGAAATTTTTGAGATATTTTGGCAAAACATGAGCAGTTATCCAAAGATTGTCAGAAACTTGTAAATCTGTAAATAATCTAAGCCAATACTAATTAGTGATAAGTTGATAATATAAGCTTACAACACGTAGGGTTTCTATCTGTTATCGCTTATCTTATTACGTGCGAGTTACGGTCAAAATTACCTTGAGGCCAATGCCACATTCTTATCAAAAGTTATTAACAACAATCGTTAGAGTTAAAAAAAACCTTATACGTAGAAATTCTGGTAGAACTTTACCTACGAACTAAATTTAGATTCATATTACCCGTTTTTTTCACACTTTTCAACATAGATTTTAATTTTGCAAGAATGATGGATCGACGGGCAGGAGGCTCACCATGATAAGTGCCCATGGACACTCATAATGCCACAAGGCTTTGCGAGCCGTGCTTTGCCGGCCTATTAAGAATCTTTTCTAGACTTTAAATTAATTGTTCTATAAATATAATTGTTGTAAAATCTTAAAGGAACATAAACAGAGGTATACTATGTATTTCGTGACATTGTGTTCTTTATGAGAATAAATTTCTTTTAACCTTTTTTTTTATTAACTGAAGAACAATATGTTAATGTTTAATGCATCATTACACATTAAACTTTGGGACTACATTGACAATTATATAACATAATCCAACTACAAACAAAATTCTGTTTGTAAACACAAAACATTGGCTGCATTACCGCGTTATATACGGGGTTACGGTCTGAATTAATCAATCTACATATTTAATCTAAAAATACCTTTTTATACCCGCACAAAAGATTTTAAAACAAAAGGCTTTTTAAAATACTAATTTTAAACGCATTGTGCGCAAGGGAAGACCTACGTCAGACGTCGACTTGTTCAATGTTTCTAGTGAAAAGGTTATATTTGCTATTGAAACAACGCCCTTATTTACACGATTGTTTATTTACAAATTTCTATTTTTTGGTTTGTTAGTATTGTAATTACTAGTAACACATATATTCTCGAGGCATACTTAGCCCACGCCTCGACTCTCAATTTTACCCTAAATCACAGCTGTGCTTAAAGTTAAACACGAGTTATGTAACCTAACATTAGTTAAGTTACATATATATATATTTTAGTTAATAATTAAAAGCGTAAACAATCGTCGCACACTTGGAGCCTATATGAGCCCTTTAGATTTTACCACACTCATAAATTGTTTAACATTCTCGTTTCTGATAATGTCTAATAACCTCAATTTACGAACTCTTCAATAAGTCAAGTTAGTTTTTGTTAATCCAGCGTAGCAACCCAACTACCTCTAATGATATCTTAGTTATAAGCTAATGTTTTATTAAATTAAAGCCAGTTGTTACCCAGCTTCTAACAAAGTGTTTTATTGGAACATATCCATACAACGATTAATTCACGCCACAATATTTTAGCATGACAATCTGAATAATTATACATTCAATCAAACTGTTCATAAATAACATTCATTCTTGACTCAATTAATATATTGTAGATATTAACTATCTATATAAAAATAAATTATCTTTCGCTCTCCATAGAAAAATTTGTGTCATCAATACAAGTAGAAAGCAGTTTAAAAGGAATTACACCTCCATTGGATTACCATTTATGAATTTACAATACACAAATTTCAGTATATACAATACTCTTAATTAATAAATTATTATTTAGATAAATAGAAAATAAAATAAATAATAATAATAAAATAACCCAGTCCCAGCTTTGATTAGACATTAAATAATTTTTTTACGATGGATTTGCCTACCACAATCTGGGAAATGTATTTGGCCGAAAAACATTTGTTTTCGAAAAAGAAGGTAAATTTTCTGAAAATGCAAAAGAAGTCATGTTTCTAGGATACTCTAACTTCTAAGGCATACAGGAGATTATATACCAGAATAAAATGAAGTTGTGATAAGCAAAGATGTTAGGGTTTCTGGCATAATGTATTTAGAAAATCAAATACACGATACCAAAAAAATATTTCTTAAAAATAAAAAGAACTCAGATAGAAATCGAAATGGAAGAATATCATTTAGCGATAAATTCATCAAGATACATCAGATCGTCAAGAGACGAATCGGAATACGAATCAGGCATCGTTTATTCGTTACAAACAAAAATATGATCCTCTACGTAACACTGTGGGTTGTGATACTTCTGTAAGTTATAAATAGAAAGCAGTTGTTTAAGTTGAATAAAGAAAAACAAAACATTTTCCGAATATAATTAAGTTTGACGTCAATGGCATAAAACTGAATGACCCTTTGCACTCGGCTAAGCTTACTTTATGAGATTTGGGAGTTGTTTCAAATTTATGAAGTCTTTCTGAATAACAACAGTTTGTTAAGCTTCCATAACACTTTGGGACTTTTCCTAATCTAATATTATGGAACAAAAGAGATTCTATGCGATTTCACATTGAAATATATTTGATGTAGGTAATTGGAGATTACTGTTTCGTCTAACATTAGCTTAAGAAAAAAATATTTGGAGTTGATTAAATTATAAGAAATTACACAGACTATTAAAATACGGAAAGTTACATATCTCAGATACCTTTTACGTCATCAAAGATACGACTTGCAGCTCATAATGATGCGCAAAATTCAAGGCAAGAGACCGGCTGGTGGTTGCGGAACATACGGGAGTGGATCGGCGTCACAAAAGTAAAACAAAAACAATAACTAACCAAAATATATTATTAAAAGGAGTCCCTTTAGGCAAGGTTCCGAAGATACTGGCAGCGTTCCCCCTTTGAATCGCTAGACTAATTCTTTGTCCGAGGTAGCTGCCAGCACTTCGGTCTCCTATGATGTCGATAACCTTTTTTTTCTCTTATTGTTTTAGTTAAGAAAATTGTAAATACTGTTTGATTACTGTATGCTGATTGAAAATTTATTTTTAAATGCTAAATATACATATTTCAAAGTAAAATACGAAACAAAGCAATGTTTATTTTATTGTTAACTGCATTGAATATTATTTCATACAGTTATACGAAAATAGCATATGAGAAATTCAACTTTAGTTCTGTGCCAAAAACTGTCTCAAATACTAACGGGATTATGTTAATTTAATTATATGAACTCTCCAATGCATGCTAATATTAAAATCAAGTCAGTACAAAAAGTATTTTTTGATATTTCATATAATCTAGCCATATTTGAATAAAATGCAAATGAGTTCAGTGACCTTTGCTTTGAGAGGGTTTTTATGTCAAAGATTTGTAGATTTACGGTTTTCACGCCATTTTTAACCCTCATGCATTAATTCTTAATTACTTGGAGATCTTTTTGTACTGATATTGGTTCTACGGAACAAAAAGATTGGTTCTGTGGTTTCAGTATGAATACATTCCTATCATTTTAATTTATACTTTTACATTATAAATAGGAAAAATTTAACGAAACAGGAGTTCTGTAACCTATCATTAGTTAAGTTACATAAATATTGCCAATTATCGCACACTTGATGCTAATATGAGCCCTTTAGATCATTCCACACTCATAAATTGTAATTTAATATTTTCGTTTCCGATGATGTCCAAAAGGTAGGCTATTGAAGTGTCACTTAGATTTAAGAACCCTTCAATAAGCCAAGTTAGTTTTTGTTAGTCGCAAACTCACTACACCTAATTTTAGGTTAGTTATAAGCTTGCGAAGCGAGTTGACACCCAGCTTCAAGCAAAGAGTTTCATTTATTATACATTTAAATATCCCTCTAACAACCGCTATCGAATTCAGTCAAATTATAAAATATTTTATTGAAGGCAACTTGTGTTTGAAGTTGTACTCATACCGTACGCTTATATACTTATACCCATTGTCAATTGTTACATAAAGGATAAGTAAATGATTCCAACTATACATAAGTTCATTTTTTATATAATGAATTATATAAACTGTAGCATAAGCTAGATAAAGTGGAATCCCTTCTATAAAAACTTCCTCGTCGTTTTATTGCTGTTTTAACTCGAGTATTCATCTCTTTCTTCATTAATAGCAGCGTAAAAAGAATTGGGAAGAGACGAAAAAATACTTTAGTTAAAAGACTTAGGCTGATTTGTTTGTTAACGTGACAACTTGAGTTTTTTTAAAGTAAAAGTTATCTGGAAGGCTGCATTCTAATAACCAGATAGATAACAAACTATCAAAATCAAGGCTACTAGACAGATTATAATCTACAATTTAACAGTGGCATAAGATAAATAAATAAATTCTTACAAGTGTATAAAAAGGACGGACTCTCGCTTGGGACTTTGTTCGCGGAATAGTTTCAGTTTACAGAGATCACAAGACCTGATTGTTATGTTATTAGTTATAATTTCTAGGTACATATATTTAAATGTATTTTAATTGTAGAATTATCGGTGTATTGTGTAGTTCTATCGCATTATAACTGTTACGATTTATTAATTATGTGAAAAAAAAACAATAGTCGTAACTCGTAGAACTTTTATCCAAATAAGCATCCCCTATTTTAACTACTATTTACGCAAAAAATAGATAAGCTTTACCTAAAATGAATGTTGATATCCAACCTCTTACAAATATCATCCTAAGTCGTATTGATACATACAATCCTAAACCTCTACTTCCAAGGTAGCATTAATTGCTTGCCTTAGAAATTTGTGCGTACCCACCATGGACGGTATAAGCATTCGCTCGGTACCAAACAATCCTTCCAGAGGCAGAGACCCAATTTAAATTTTAAAGAAAAAAAATTGCTCTTTGACTGGGAATCGAACCCGATACCCCTCACCTAGCAGACACCTAATAAGACCGCTAGACTACGAGGCCCTTAGATTACCTTTCTCTAGGTCAAGTCCGTATAACACATTTAATTGAAATCAGTTCAATTGTGTAGGGGTGAAAGTATAACAGTTAATTTCTGTTAAAATATTAGTACATACTGCTGACCTAGCTGACCCGGCAAACGGTTGTTTTGCTATGATTATTAGTTCTAGGAACCATTTTTTTACTTCAATAAAAATAACTATCTACAATAATAAAAAATAGGAGTTGATCGTAGAGGGGTGAAAATTAAGGGTTGTATGTATTTCTGTATGCTGTATCATAAGAAATAAAAACAAAAAAAATTGTCTAAAAAATTAATATTTAAATTTAGGGGTGGACCACCCTTAACATTAAGGGGAATGTAAAGTAGATAGTATCTCTCAGACTTACTGAATATGCATACAAAATTTCATAAGAATCGGTAGAGCCGTTTCAGAGGAGTATGGGAACGAACATTGTAACACGATAATTTAATATATATATATAACGAGTACATTAGTATGTTACTGTATGCGCAATAGGGACATGATGAAACTAATACTAAATACATAACAAAGAGTGATAATTACGAAATTACATAAGAGCTTATGTAATTGACAAAAACTCGTGAGAACTTACCGAGTAAGCCTTAATCCTTTTTGGGTCAACATCATGCGACCGCGTCTGCGCACGCGGCGACGACGATACCATGATCTATGGATCACGATCTATAGATCTCTATAACGGTATACGTAAACATCCCAAACATGACACACTTTCACATTGCACTATACAATTTCGATTAATGGCTGCCAGATAGGTTTAATTAGTGTTTTTAATTGGTTTATTTATTTTAATGATTAAATTCTATTGGAAACGTTGGTTTATACTGAATGGATTTAGATTTAAATCTGTTAGAAGGCTTAGTCTTACATAATAAAAGGTAAATGGATTTAAAAGTAGATAAGAACTTTTTCCAATGTATTTTATTCATATTTATTTTAAGTGCGAACACACATTTGAGAAGAACTACTCGTTCTTTAAATACTCATTATAATACAAATTCTCTTAAGAACTGTATCCCAAACCTAGTAGTGGTTGACTGGAGTCTGGAATAGGCTTCCGGAAAGTGTAATTAGTGCAGTTTTAAAAAGACGTTTGATAATTTCTTTACATCCGCAAATACGCGTGCATCAGCGTGTTAAGCTACTAATGTGTTTAACTACATAATTGTATAATATATTTAAGTTTTAACAGAATTAGGAAACAGTACCGATAATTTCATTTCTTAGTTCAAATAGTTTAATTCTTTTTATACTTTGTATTTTTGTAGTTTCTCTTTTTTATAAGTTGTACTTTTTTTAGCGCGCTAGGGAAAAGTGATGAGAGTAAATTTTTACGATGCGCGCGCACACTGTCACAAAAAACCGACACCCTGAAGTTAGTATAGTCAACATTTTAAAATAAAAAATGACCATTTCTTTAATTAAGAAAGAAGAAATAACTTTTTTGCGATATTTAAATAAACTGTATTTAACTAGATAATGCGTTATAATAAAACTTTCAATGTACTAAATACCTTTTTTCTATTTTTAGTGTCGTTTTTTATACCGTAGAATAAGGCGAAAGATAAAAAATTTTGTAAATTTTTTTTAATTTTTACGCCAAAGAAATATAACTTCTATCGCGTGTACATAAGTACCCACACATCTTTTACACTACTTAATTTTGCTGGTCGTGTCCACATGTTATAGGGACGGCACCGCTTTTCATACTTTTGTATGTACGTCAATTTGTATTACGTGTTTGTCCTAATTTTGTGGTCTAAATAAAAAAAAAGACAGTTATTAATATCCATGACTTTCCTCCATTTTACATTACCCAAAAGTTATAAGTAAGTTACCCTTAAGTGGTAAGCAATTAGTATCATCAAAACTACGAATGTCAGAAATTTGGTCGATTTACGATTTACGTAAAAATTCCGACGTTACCGTTACGATCGAGGTGACGATAAAGTTCACGCTAAGCTCATATATTACGTCACAGCGATATAACCAGGTTATGCGGTTTTATGATCTTTTTATAGACGCTATTATTTAAAATTCTGAGATTTCAAACCAGATCTTATTAAGACAATAACATTATGTAGATTAAAAAGTCGCTAGAACCTTTTAGGGCCTTAGATTTCTGTATCTGTCCCTTGATAATTTGTTTTTCTTATAAGGAAGTAGGTGATCAGCCTTCTGTGCCTGTACGTCCCAAGGATGTACATTTTGCTCACTCAGGCTTTCTTAGTTTTACAAGCGTGGCGATTTCCTAAATGGTGGGAGTAACGCCCCGAGAGTATAGCCAGACGCAGGCACTCTCATCAACTGTTTTGTACTAGCTAGTGTTAAATGCGCACATATTAAGTCCATTGGTCCGCCGGGTTCGAACCTATGACCTCATGGATGAGAGTCGCATGCTGAAGCAACTCTGCTATATAAAATAAACAATTTTGATTACCATTAAGAATTCTTTCGCATCAAGTAAAAGCGACTCCTACCTTAGAAGCAATAAACAGCATCTAGTATCTTTGAAAGATTCTTGTTTGGCTCTTTGGAATGAATTATTCAAAAAAAGGTTGTCAGAAAAGTCCTAAGAATTTGTAATCGCTAGTTTGCGTTAATATTACAAAACACTTTCTTTTTTGCAATGTCAAAAACATTAAAAAATAAAATCATTATTTCCCAGCGTGGGGCCCACGCACCACAAGGGGGTCAATTTTTCAGTATGTTTTAAAAATTTACTTACTGTGTTTCGTTAACATTTTTTTAGTAAATTCTTCCTCAAACCTATAATTAAAGTAACTTAAGTGAAATTTTACATTTTTTAATTTTAAAAATTATGTATTGTACATTTTAGAAAGGCTAAGGTGGGGGGAATGGGACAAAAAAGGTTGAGTAACACAGGTTTAAATCAAATCAAAAATATTGAAAATTGAACGAGTTGTCAAAATTTTGTACTGTCTTACTTTGTATTTACTATTTTTTTAAATAAGTTAAAATTAAAAGCATCCATAGCTAGTTTATATATTTCATATTACTCAAGTATATTTCACACATCTCATATGCATTTAACAGCGTGTCGAATGCGTTCGTCATACTTCGGTCTTTCATTAGCATTTGATATTGAAAATATAAAGACTACTTTTGTTATTATATCGTTGCTACTAGCAAAAAAGCTTCCATTAAGTAAGGTATAATATAATATGTGTATATATTTAATTTAGTAAATAAAACATACAATATACGTAGCTCCAAAATCACTGTACATTTAATATAACCTATTGTTGTTCTGTCTTTCTAGTAGTATATTTTTTTATAACAGGAGGCACACCTGATGTTAAGTGATACCTCCGCCCAAAGACTTACATTGCCCGTAGGCTCGCAAGTGCGTTGCCGGAGTTTTAACAATTGGAACAGAATATTGAAGGAATCTAAGTAGAATTGGTTGGGCAATACTACAGTAATAATTTTTCAACTAGAACGATTTTAAGGGTCACTTCCGCTTAACCAGTGCGGGACATACTCATACATATTTCAACCCCATTAGAAACCAGTACAAAAGACAAAAGGAAAAAAGTCTTTCCGCTCACAATGGTTTAAAACGGTGTTTAATTAAGCTGAACTTTTAATTAGGGTAAGAGAAATTGTGCTGCCCCGCAGGCTTTATTTGCAGCGGAGTTATCTACTTGTTTATTTGTAGGTTTTGTCATAGGAAGGCGAGTTTACTTTGATTTTTGAAGCCCCGATGAAGAGGTCATTTTAATGTTTTAAAACAGCAAAGATTTTTAACGAAATCGATATTTTAATTGCATTAAGTAGTATAAGAAAATTTACGTATGTTTTTCTACTTCGCACGGCTGGATTTTTGAAATATTTAAGAAATAAGTATAGCCTATGTTACTTAGGTATAAGGTATAAACATTTTTTTATTATATCAGTATTTTCTCTCTCAGTTTGTTGTAATGTTTTCATTTCGTTTTTTGTATCGCTGGCACCAAAGTTAAACCCTTTAGTAGGCTGTTGGTCTTTTCTATACTTTTAGTTTATTAATAATATAAAGCGCAATATTTATAAAAAAAGATACATCACGTAGCATTATAACGGTGAAATTTTCTTTTAAGTGTTATTGTTAAATCGGTAGAAGCATTCAAATTTTATCACTTTATAACATTAGTTAATACAATTATTGCATTTGTTAAATACGCTCATAATCATATAATTATGGACCTAATTAGATTTATTGCGAGAGTACATTACAAATACTATATTATTCATAGTTTATAGTTCACGCAAATGTTCTGGCGAATCGGAATCGTGTTTCCAAACATCTTCCTTAACCGCAAGCTTCATAGGAACTGATTAAGTATTCCAAACTACTTCAAGTTCGTGGAAATTTGTTGACTTGTTACATACTTAAACCATACTTAGCGAGACATGGGCCTTTTAATCTGTGGTAACTTAAATTAGCTATGTAAATTAAAAAAATACAAAATTACTTAAAAATCATTAGTAGGTATTTAACTGGTTTTGATTATTGAAAGTAAGGCAGAGCATACCAACAATTCACCGATTTATATGACACTAATTCGACCGTTGTCCTGCATGATATTTCAAAGGATTAGACAAAGTATGAAAGTCTATCCAGGGCGCCACCCAAACGCATCCAAAAATTATTCAAATCGGTCCAGCCGTTTATGAGGAGTTCAGTGACATACACGTACAGAAGAATTATATATAAACATATTTTAAAATAACACTTTTTTTTTATCTTTACATTCATCTTTGCATACATTTCAAATCCTGACTCCGTAGCTTAGTTCCTGAGAAACATTGTTAACTGCATATACATTATACATCTACGGTTTGTATCAAATAAAAAAAAACAAAGACGATATGTATGTAATGTAGATTAGAAAAGTGACTCTAGGACATTTTATTCTCTCTTTTATTGGATAATAAAAAAAAACAATAATAATATACGCTATTGTTTGATTGAAATATCCAAGCAACATATTGATCCTATCTTATCACAAGAGAAGTCATCAAATCGATTGATAAAATACTTTATAATAAATAGATAAAACGTCATATCAACAATGTGACAGTATCGGGATTTTGAAACATAGATAAATGATGACTTTTGCTGATTACATGTCAATAATTTGGTCATGGAAAATATGTAATAATCTTTGTGCGTTCCAAAAACATTCTAGAATGAAAATGGCAATAGTTTGCAAGTTTCACCTTGAACCCCGGATTTGCAATGAAGCTTTTTGCTGCTAAACCCATAAACACTTGGACATATACGATAGTGAGGAATACGTCATTTCTTAGCTCAAACGTTAGACCACAATTAGACGTAGATGTCTGATAAGCTAAGCTATAAGAAAAATAAAAAACAGAGTTATTAAGGCAACTAGGTGATAAACCATAACCCAATGTCACGCTGATAATGGAACCCAGACCTCCAGATTAGACGTCTTGTACGAACCACTAAAATAATATGTGGTTTTGTTACGAAATAGAACTGTGTAAACATTTATGTGTACTTTTTAAATATTTCTGGCGTCACCAGTGTTATTGTAATGCAAATTTCATTTACTAGAAACACTTACGGACGTACGGAGTATTTTATTAGAAAAATATTTAAAATATAAATAAGAA